GTGAGGACGCGCCAGCCCCTCCTGCCTTCCCGCGTGCTCCGCTGCAGAGCTGTGCTCCCACAGGGCGCCCCGGCGGGACGCTGCTCCTGGGCCCCTTTTCCTGACCCCGACCCCTGCCCCTGTCGGGGGCACGCAGGCTGCTCCCGTCCCCCCGTGGTAAACTTGCCGCTGGAGACTGCAGAACATGAAGCTTTGGCGCTGGTGGGTGACACAGCGCCCGGGCAGCTGGCGTCCGGCGTGTCCACCCCCTTTGTCAGGTGGGCCCAGGCCAGCCCCCGCGCGCAGGCTCCTCCAAGCCTCCTCCGCACAGGTCCTGGGGCTCCCGCGGAGAGGCGCTGCCGGGGCGTCTCCCCGCCCATCGCAGCCCACGAGCGTGTTTATCTGCCGCATCTCATCTGCGTCCTCCCCGGAACCGAACCTCCACCCGGGTCCTCCGACGCCTGTGGGCTGGGCCACGGCCTGTGAGCTCGGAGTGTGCCGGCTCTGAGCCCCCGGGGTGGGCTCTCTTCTCACGGCTGGGGGCGCCCCCCGACCGGAAGGTGCGCAGACGCTCGTCTGCCGGCCTTGGGGTGGCCGGGCCTCGGGGTCCAGCTGTCTTCAGGTTTGAAGTGGTCAGCTGGCTAACTGGTCCCCGGGCCTGGCTGTGGGGTGGGACGGGGCGTCCATTTTCAGCTAATTATTTTCCGTGTGGGATCCCGAATGTCTTTGGGGACCGGGCCATGCGCATGTCACCCTCCCTTTTGGTGACGGCCTCTTCTGAGTTTTCTCTCGCGCCGGGGCCAGTTTGGCCGCTCAGCTTTTCCTGGGACGGCGGCCACTTCGCGGAGGCCTGCGCGCGGCCCGGGCCGTCCTGTCCGGCCCTGCTGCTCGCCCCCCTCGACTCCAGCGCTGTTTATTTGTGCCTCCTACCTCGAGGTTTTGGGGGATTTTGTGACGAAAGACTGTCCCCGTGTCGGCTGTGAAACACAAGCCGTGCGCTTTGCCCCTTCGCCTCCCTGATCTCTGCTTTCGTTTTCTTGTCCCTTTCCTGGTTTCCAAGGGCTGCGCGCAGCGAGCGCAGGTGTGCCCCCGTGCCCGGCGGGAGGGAGGGCGGCGGGGGCGCCCCCGTGCCCGGCGGGAGGGAGGGCGGCGGGGGCGCCCCCGTGCCCGGCGGGAGGGAGGGCGGCGGGGGCGCCCCCGTGCCCGGCGGGAGGGAGGGCGGCGGGGGCGCCCCCGTGCCCGGCGGGAGGGAGGGCGGCGCCACTCAGCGGCGGAGACAGAGCTCCTCAGGCCAGGGCGGGCGGGGTGCTGCAAGGGTGGCGTGAGTCAGCCTGCGGGGATCTGCCGGCCCGAGGGCGGAGCCCAGGGAGACCAAGCGAGACTGAGCTCCCTCCGGCTTGGCCCCCGCGGGTCTGGCTGTGGTGGGGGGCTGGTGCCCGGGTCCCGCGAGTGTGTGGCGTGCAGCAGTGAGAGCCGGCCTGCGTCCCCCGACCGGGCCAGTCTGCCCGTGCCTTGGCCCCGTAGCGGGGCTTCCGCTGGCTGACGCGACACTGGGTTTTGCTTTCCATGTTTATGAGACGGGACCAGCTTTCTTTTTTTAGGATTAAAAAAAAATATTTATTGATGGACACAAGAACTGGGGTGCAGGCCAGAGGTGCCGGGGGTGAGAGGACTCCCCAGAGACGGAGTGGGGAGCCAGCAGGCGGGTCCACTGAACCCACTGCTGAGGGGGCAGCAGAGACAGGAGGGGTCCGCTGCGCAGGCCCTGGGGTCCCGCCCTGACCGGGCTGGACTCGGGCACAGCGGCTGGGCGGTGTCACAGGGGGAGACTGGCCCCTGCCCGGAGGCCCTGGGCCGGTTTTCTGGCCTTGCAGTTTTCGCCTCAGGTTTTGGGATCAGGATTGTGATCATAAAACAAGTTGGAAAAGAGCTCTTCTCTATTTTTTGAAAAATAGAAGTTTGCACACATTTGCGAAAGACTAAGGTTATTTTTCCATGCGGTTTGGTAATGTTTGCTCACTAAAAAAATGTAGACCTGAAAGTTTATTTCGTGCAGAGTTTCTCTTTCACTGTTGTGGAAAGCTTTTTTTTTTACAGGTTCATTTATTTCTGCATGCAGAACTGGGACACAGGCCAGAGGTGCGGGTGGTGAGCGGCGTCCCCAGAGACAGAGCGGGGCGAAGCCCACGGCTGAGGGGAGCCGCGGGCGGGTCGGGAGGGGTCTGCCGCGCCCTGGGGTCCCCGCCGGGCGGGGATCGCACTCTGCTGGACAGCTGTGGCTTCCCCGTGCTGCGCTCTGACCGGCGGCGCCGGGGAGGGCCCGAGTGGGAAGCTTCCTAATGGCGAATTCCGGGTCACGCTTCATGCCAGTAAGGCGGCTCCTTTCCTCCTCTGCTAGCGCTGGGAGTTGGGGTTCTGAAGAGACAAGTGTCTGATAGTTCAGCTTCACTGCTATAAAGTTTCCCCTCACATTTATTGTTTTCTACGTCTGCAGGGGCCAGAGGGGTGTTTATTTTTGCTTGTTTACTAGCTTTGCCTCTTGTCATCATTTCTCTTCACCTCTCTGGGTCACTTGCTACCCTTCTCACAGCTTCTGGGGGAAGCAAAGTCTTGTCCCACTGATTTCCAGTCTTTCTTCCTTCCTCATACACAGTAAAAACTACATATTAAGCTTAAATAAGTGTTACCTATTTTGCTGTCATTTTTTCATTATAATTAACTTCTAAAGAATTTATTCGCTCCCTGTGGGAGGCTTCTTAACCCTGGGGTCCCTTAGAAGTCCGATTTTTAACTTCCAAGTATATGTGGATACTTTATTTTCTGTTGTTGATTTTTAGCCTAATTGAGTTGGGTCAATTTAACCCTTTCAGTTTTTTATTTGACCCTTCGAACGTAACGTTCACTTTGTAGCTATAACACGATCAATTTTTTTTTAAAGATTTATTTATTTGTGCATACAGAACTGGGGTACAGGCCGGAGGTGCGGGAGGGGCGAGAGGACTCCCCAGAGCCAGAGCGGGAAGCAAAGTAGGCAGGTCGAGGAAGCACACTGCCGAGGGAGCAGCGGGCGGTCCAGAGAGAGCTGCCGCGCCCTGGGGGTCAGCTCCGGGGCGGGGGACTGAACTCACACTGAAGCGGCTGCATCCTAGCCTGCTGCTCCACCAGGGAGGGCCCACACAACGAATTTTTAAAACTGGCCCAAACTCCCTGACAAGCCCGTGCAGTCTGCCGCTGGTGTGTTTAACTGTCGGCGGCTCCTGCCTCAGCCCTCCTCAGACTGACACACCAACGCTGCTGGGAATATTTTTACCATGTTTGTTTTAAGCCCACAAGTCATCACTTACTTCTGATGCTTTATCGTGACCTTACACGAACAGTTCACCCAGCTGAAGCCCACCAGGAAGTGAGTCTTAGGTCATTCACACAACTTTGCAACTCTCACCATAATCAGTTTAGAACTCTCCGAGAAGAGACCCATCCACATTTGTCCCCCTGCACTCACACATGCCAACGGCCATACCTGGTCTGGAGTGACGGGCCGGGCCCACAAGGCCAAGGTCGTCCAGGTTCACACGTGTGGTTTTGCCGGTCCTTTGCCTTTTCACTGCTGCATAATATTCCACGTTTTACTCATTTTTTTTCATCCACTGATGGAAATCTGCATACCCCCACTTTTTTAAAAAAAGATTTATTTATTTATGTACACAAGAACTGGGGTACGGCCCAGGGGAGTGTGGGGCGAGAAGGTGCAGCAGAGACAGAGTGGGGAGCAGCATAGTTGGAGCCACTGAAATGCTCTGCTGAGGGGAGCAGCAGGGAGACAGCAGGGGTCCGCTGCGCCCAGGGTCACCTCCCTGGCCGGGGATGGGACTCGCGCTGCGGGGCTGCGGGAGCTTCATGGTGCTGCGCCGTAACCCCTGTGCACCAGGGAGGGCCTGGGCTCCATGTTTGGTTTGGTTTTTCTGTTGAGAATAGTGCTGCAGAGTGTCCTGCCTTTCCGTTCCTCCCGGCTGTTTGCCTAGCTGGCTTGCTGGGTCACATGGTAGCTGTAGGTCTCACGTGTGGAAGAATTTCCAAATTGTTCCATAAGCCACTTTTTTTTTTT